GCTCTCTTTTCCTACATCAGCCCTATCCACTGTCTCTATGTATCCTGTTGTATCTAAGACAACAACTCCGCAATCATCTCCCTCGACACTTTCACTCTCAGCAGCTTCTGTATCAAGTACTCAGCATCAGCCATATCCACTGCCTCTATGTATCATGTTGTATCTATGACAACAACTCCGCAATCATCTCCCTCGACTCTTTCACTCTCAGCAGCTTCTGTATCAAGTACTCGACTATGGCCCGCGGGATGGGAAACCATAGCTGGCAACTATACAGAAAAGCCTCGTATCATGTAAAGTAACCCGGAGGCGGGTGCTTTGCATCTTGGCCACGTTCGGGAAGACGAAACTGCACCGAGTCTGGGATCATTCGATAACTCCGCATAACGTCGAGGCAATAAACAGTACTCTGACTCAGACCCTTTTTCCCCTTCGTCGACTTACGCTTAGGGACCCAGAAATTAGCATTAGGGGCCTCGGCAGCACGCGCAGCATCCAAATACCTCTCGATCCCCTCTTCATCTGCGGTAAATCTTAAGAACACCAGTGCAGGAAGTACGTTTCCACCGGAACATTCAAGATCACCCGGATCGAAAATGGATGGACAAGCACATTTAGAAACTCTTCCTTCAGTAGACATGCTTAGCAAACTAGTGTGGAAAGATCCAAAGAAAAGAGAGAGATATTTTCTCTAAATATGAAGAAGACTTATGTGGAAATAAGTGAGTAAAGAATTTGAAAACTTACTCCACATATTTATAAGCAAAATTTTCTATTCACTTTCGGACTTTTAGTCGTCAAAGTTCCGCCTACTTCTACCAAACTTTCCGAATAAGTTCAAACCGCTCGCAAGAACTCTACGATTCTTACGGGCTAGGGGGCTAACTGTTGGGATCAAAATCGGTTACGACGGAATCAACGACTAAAACTTTCTTCAAAGTTAAGAATAAGTATTAAAAACACGAAAAGCGTCGAGAACAAATCTAAGGATTCTCTGAACATAGTATTCCTTAAAACTAACAATCGTTATCTTGGAAGTAGTAGGGAAATCGAATAAAACAATCCGGGAATTTTTTATTGGCTAAGTTAACAAAAACGGCCTTAACGTCCAAGCTGCCCGAGATATTAAAACTATTGTTAAGATCGGAATCAACACTTACATACACTTCTCCTTATGTTCTCCGCAAGGATCTCGGGTCGAGAAAACAAGAAGAGATTGGAACCGAGCTAAACGCACTTGTCCAGCTCGCCCATTGGCACCATGAACACATCTGTCCAGCTCGCCAACGGAGCTGGCCACACATGTAACCAGCTCGCCCGTTGGCGAGCTGAACACATCTGTCCAGATCACCAACGGGGGAGCTGATCACACATGTAACCAGCTCGCCAGTTGGCGAGCTGAACACATCTGTCTTTCATTTCATCTCAACCCGCCTCACCGTTTGAGTTTTACGATAAAAACCGAAAAATGATTGTTTTTAGTCAAACCTTGAGTAAATCTTTTAAAACGGCAACGGTTAAACGAAACACCGTACATTGCCAAACTATACGATTAAGTCGAGATGTTTTTATTAAAAACCATAAAAGACACGTTATCTCGTAAAACCTTGAGTAAATCATATAAAACGGCAACGGTTAAACAAAACACCAAACATTGCCAAACTCTACGATTAACTCGAGATCTTTTATAAAAAGTCACTAAAGACGTGTTTTCTCGTAAAACCTCGAGTAAGTCATATAAAACGGCAATAGTTAGTTGAAACACTGAACATTGCCAAACCATACGATTAATTCGAGCTGTTTACTTAAAAACGACAATGTATCAGGAAACGATCTCGGATAAAAGCGCAAAACGGCTAAATCTTTGGACTTTTGCTTGTTAAAGTTCTGCCTAATTCTACTAAATTTTCCGAACAAGTTCAACCCCCCCCCCCCAAGAACTCTTGGATTCTTACGGGCTGTGGAGCTAACTGTTGAGGTCAAAATCGGTTACGACAAAATTAACGACCAAAACTTTCCGAACAAGTTAAGAATAGATTTCAGAAATAAGAAAAGGCTTCAAGAAGGAATCTACGAACTTTCCGAGCAAAGGAATTCCGTTAACTTAACAATCTTCATCTTGGAAATCATCGGAAAACCGAATAAAACAATCTGCGATCGTCCAAATTGGCAAATTAGCAAAACACGGCCGTAACGTCTAAACTCCACGAAACGGTAAAGCCATTATTAAGGTCGAAAACGATAACCTCGAGATCAACGTCTACGATTGTTTTTCCTTATATTCTCCAAAGGGATCTCGGGTCAAGAAAATGAGAAACGATCGAAACCAAACAACCGACCAGCTCGCCATCAGGCGAGCTGAACCGACCAGTCCAGCTCGGCAACAGACGAGCTGGCCATCCCTGACCAGCTCACCTGTTGGCGAGCTGAACCGACCAGTCAAGCTCGCCAACAAGCGAGCTGGCCATCCCAGACTAGCTCGCCAACATGTGAGCTGGCCATGCTTTACTAGCTCGCCTGTTGGCGAGCAGAACTAAACCATCTATGCCCCTCGACTCGATCGAACTCTGAACCGTGATCATAACATCTCTCATTTTATCTCGATTCGTCTTGGCATTGGAGTTTTACGATAAAAACCGTAAAAGACTTGTTTTCTCGTTAAACCTCGAGTAAATCGTATAAAATGGCAACGGTTAAACGAAACACCGAACATTGCCAAACTATACAATTAACTCGAGCTATTTTATAAAAAACCGCTAATGACTTGTTTTCTCGGAAAACCTCGAGTAAATCGTATGGCAACGGTTAAACAAAATACCGAACATTGCCAAACTATACGATTAACTCGAGATGTTTTATAAAAACGGCATTGTATCAGGAAACGATCTCATCAAAAGTCGTAAAATGGCTAAATTGCAAAACGGCTCGGAAAGTCCTAAAACGCAATAAAATCCCACTCACGACTTTTGAAAAGATCCAGCCCAAAGATATGATGACGGCTTACCCATTATTCGCAGGAGTGGAAAAATGTCAAGTTTGAAGATAAAATAGAAGTTTTCCGAAGAAAAATGGAAAGATCGAGAAAATGGAAGATTTCCGACAAATGCAAATCGGGGCGGAAAAAGAAAGACCAACCGCCTAGAGAAAGAGTATATAAGAAGAAGTTCGAGGACAAGAAGAGGACACGGATTTCAGAGCCCTCATTTCACAGAAAAACTTGGCATTTAGAGCATTTAGGCAATTTTCCGTTTTTGTTAACGAGCTGCATCTCAACTAGGGTTTTAGTCTTAGGTTGCTAGAACTAGGAAACTCGCCTTCAGCTCTTGTGGCCAAGGCTTTTACCTCGTTATACCGTTATTACGCAAAATCGGAATAAGAAACCTCTTTGCTCTCTTTTGGATTCTCATTTTACTTTATTGTCTTTATCGTTTATGATTGCTTGCGTGTAGATAAGCATATATCCGGGACCTATGAGAAATTAGGGTTTTCCCTAAGTTCCTTTATTTACGTAAATAGACGGTGTGAATTTCGGTTCCCACATAGGGCCCACAATGTGCCAAAATTTCTGATAGAAAATACTGATTAAACCATCTTCTCCTGGCACACTACTATCTTTCACAATAAAGCTGCGATTTTGATCTCCTCAGGAGTAACTGGTCTGGTGGGGCTGGTGTTCATCATGTTGGAGACTCTATTCTTGAAATCTCTAAACAAGAACTCAAGATCAATTGGGTTAGAGCTAGAAAATAACTCCCTGAAATACTCCACTGCAATGTTCCCTTTGGCTCCTTCAGAACAATTCTTAGAACCCATGTCATCAAACAGCATCAGAAAATGGTTTTACAATTCTTCTCCCTTGGAAACAATTATGGAAATATTTGGTATTTCGATCACCAGAACGCAGCCACTCTTCTCTACATCTTTGCCGCCAGTACAGCTCTGCCTCACGCAAGCTTCCTCAAACTCTTGTTTCAAACGCATCATCAAGGAGTAAGACGGGTTAAGTTTGCAAACTCTTTTTCCAGAGAAGCTTGGAGTCTGATGATTTTATTATGTGAGTTAAGGTCAGACCGTTTCTTCCACTCCATGATCTTACGCTTACACCTTTGAATGCGGTCTATTGTTCTGGCCTGATCACCACTATTACCATCCCAAATTTCTCTAACTAGAACCTCAAACCCTTACGAGATATCATAATAATAACAAAAAAAAAGAACAGGCTGCATTTAGGATCATCCCTCTCTGCGGCAAAATGGGTCTATAATCAGTAGCCCATAGTTCAAGGTACTCCATATTAGATCTCGAAAATAAAGAGAACCATTCACTATTACATTGGACCCAGACTTTATCTCTCCACCCACACAAAGACAACCAGTTCCAGGGTGTCTTATTTCCTCGAGCTTACAATTCTGTATCATGTTCCTAAAATTTCAGAAACTTGATCCAATTCGGATAGCACCTTCACTCTTCTCTTCATTTGACACCAATTCATTAAAATCTCCCGCCAGATCCACGCTTCATCTCTCACAAGACCCAGAGAAACTAGCCAATCCCAAACTTCATATCTCTTTGCTTGCACTAGATCCCCATAGACACATGATAAAAAGAAAGAATATGATCCCATTGAAACTTTGAGATCAATTATTCTTTTATCCCTCGACACAACTTGCACCTGAAACATGTCCTTCCATAGAACGGCCAAACCACCACTTAAGCCCTCCGACTACACTGTATCTATATGCTCGTATCCCAAACTTTTCTGTAACCCCACCATGTAATCCTTCTTTTGTTTCGTTTCCATAAAAAAAATGAAATCCGGAGAGTATTTTCTGCGTAATCTCCGGAGGTGACAAACTGTCTCCTTGCTACTAGCACCTCGATAGTTACAAGAGAGAATACTCATTGGGGAGGCAGTGGCTTCAATATGGAAACCACCGCTGAGTACGGGATTTTCTCTGTTTTGAGTTCTGTTGAGTGAAGAGGAGGCACTGTTTTCCTTTTCATACTGGTTTGTGTGGGAGGAACTGAAACTGTGAATCCTGGCGCATTCCTTCTCGCAAGTTTGGGTGTTTATTCCTTCTCCATGAGGGAGGGCGGTTCCTCTCATATTTTTTTACTCCTTGGTTTCCAATGACCCGCCCCTCCGAAGAAGGGCCTAAGCGAAAAACTGTTGAAACAGCTAAAGGAGCAAAACAAGCAAACATTTTTGAACCATTACACTCTGTACCATCATCACTGTCAACTTCTATGTTAGAATAACCAGAGTTTGTATTCACAACCAAAGTCTTCGGTTGAGTATAAACATCAGGATCAGAGTAAGTGGAGACATGACCCTTTCCCTTGTCTAGTTCCTTGGTGATCCTTGTCAGCCGCAATGAAGACTCCGCAGCATTTTCTTCAATACCCTAACGAACTCGCTGAATTCTAGACAATCGTTTAGCTGGGTCAGCGTGGGAGATATATATCATTTTCTTTGATCCTTTTTGGACAGTTCAAGGAACAAAGGAGGAGAATCTGGTGGTCCAACGAGCTTCTCCTCCAGAGACAAAGCCTGCGAAACCTCACTATGCGACAAGGATTTTGCAGCGTTTCCTTCAATACCGTGACGAACTTGCTGAATCCTAGCCAATCGCTCAGTTGGATAAGCATGGGAGATGTACATTATAGCTATTTATTTTAACCTCTTTGAACAATTCAGGAAACATTGGAGGAAACCCTGGAGGTCCATCTAGCTTCTCCTTCAGAGATAGAGCCTGTGAAATATCACTATGAACCTTCCTGTCTCTTGCATATGGGGATGAACTGGTCTCCTCTCTTTGGCCAGACCTCTTCTTAAGAGTGGGCACTTCACCTTTTCATGTGTAAGTCACAGACAATGAAAACATCATCTATGGATCTTTTCATACTCGAATTTAATGTTTACCATTTCTCCAGGGGCCACCGTCAGCTTTCAGGAGACTTTTGCTGGGTTATCCACATATTACAGATTACCTTAGCTCTTATGTAGCCTTTGGTTTGAGCGACCTTGGGATCGTAATCTATAGCCTCAACCTTACCGATCTCATAACCCAACTTGTCCATAGTATCCGTTGTGAAAAAGATAGCTGGGATATTGCGGATACAAACCCAGATTTCCATAGTCTGGAGAAAGTAACTTGGAGGAGATGAAGTCACCTTTCCAGCACCAAAGTCCAATGATTATAAGACTAAGGTCTATCGTTAAGAACAGTCTGGAGATCCTGTTTACGCGATCCTCTCCACGCTGAAAGATAATCTGGAACCGGTCCCGAGAAAGTGCTATTCCTCGAACCCTGTCAAAGACCCGCCAAGCAGTACGAATGTAATCTATCATTCTTTCCATAGATTGACAATCTGGGTTTAAGAGACAACCCATCAAACTCTTCTCATTCTCCTCGTAAACTCGAAATCTTGGGTTGTCTGGTAATGTCAAAGTTTCTTCCTCCTCCATCGACATGGAACTGATTGCATTGTGAAGAAATTCAGCCATGGTGATCAAAAGAATCTGGTTTCTGGCAGAGACAATACAGTGGATAATCAAAGTTTTGGGAAGAAGAATAGTTGCCCAGAATAGGACTATACTCCACCACAATCTTTTGGGAAATCATCAGAAAAGTAAAAACTTTTGGTCTCGCAAAGTTTGCAAATTAGAAAGAATACCAGAGAATGGAAAGTCAAAGTTTTAATAAAGGTAAGATGAGAAGATCTTAAGGAAACAATTTAATTATTTCCTTTACTAATACCGTGGCAAGGAATTAATTTAATAATTGACAGCCAGTCACAAGAAGGGAGAGAGGAATATAATAAAAAAAAGGAAACCAAGAATCTCAACAATACACTGGATATTGCAAATACTAGAGTGAAATAATTTAACTGACAAAATTTATGTTCGTTTCAACAATACCTCCAAAAGAAACTCTAAAACTTTAAATATATAGTGTCACTACTCAAAACTTTAAATTTGAAGTTTCATATTTTATTTGTATTTTGACCCTTATATTTATATATAATATTAATAATTCTTAAATATTTTGTTATTAATCATTTTAATCCTTAAAATGATTATCTCTAAATTATTTCAAATTACTTTTATAAATCTGACTTTTACATAATATTTTTTAAATAAACATCAAGATACAATATAAGATATTTTTAAACTAGAACTATATAACAAAAATATTACAAGACTTAATGTGGTGTTTTTGTAGTTTAATATTTAACTATATGTTTTTATTAATAATTTTATATTTTAGTGTAACACTTTATCAATTAGTATTGCTGTAATATTTTATATATGTGAAAGTTATTTATAAAATTTCTATAAATTTGAACTAGTTATGATAAATATAAAGATCATAGTATAAAATATATAAATAGTTTAAATTTAAGTTTTAAATTTACCTTTGAAACACTTATAACTTTAAATATAGAATTTTACAAATTCTAAAATAAAGAATGTACGGGGGAGACCTCTAAACTGTACAATCTCTCTCATCCCTCATTCTCTTCCTTTTCCCCTCTCTCTACTCCCTTGATTGCTCCCTCTTCTTCCATCTCTCCCTTCTCTCTCTCATATGTGATTTTATGTCTAAATCAAAGTCATACACATGGCCGGTGCTGAGATTCTAGGGGCTGGAAACAAAACAGAAAATGGGGGCTGATATTTCAGAACATAAAATTTTACTTTGATATAATACTAACCAATGTTTAGTGAGTTTTGTGTTTGTAACTGAATAGGTGAGGGAAGCAAACCTCTGTGGCCAGGTGTGGCAATTGGAAGGCAGAAAAAGAAGCTTAAACGTCGGAAGGAAGAAAAGAAGGAGAAAATTGTGAAGTAGTTTTTTTTTTTTACTTTTTTTATAAACTTTTTTTTTTCTCTTGCGTATGGTTTGTGTATTTATTGGCCCATTTCCCTTACTAAACTGAAGTAAAAGAACGTAAATACAGAATGTCAATATGTTACTTATATTTAGATAGATCTATGTTTTGATATACATATATGGAATTTTTTTCTTTTTACGGAGGTCTACAAAAGTTGGGGACCAAGGCCAAGGTTTCAATGGGCTTGACCCAGATCCGGGCCCTGGTCATACATATAAAAATATTGTGATAGTATGTCTAAATCAAAGTCATGTACTGATATATATATACATATATATATATATATATATATATATATATATATATATATATATATATATATATATCTTTATTTATTTATTTATTTATTTATTTATTTATTTGTTGAACTTATACATATAAAGGACCAAAAGACAATAATTCGTCCAATGTATGCATTTGTGAGATCTTTATTGGCACTTTCGGGAAGTTCGTGAGTTTGCAATTGCAGTAGTTAGAAGTATATCAGATCACATTTATACAAAAATATCAAAATATTTGTATATGATTAAAGAAGTTAATCCTGGTACGCAAACTCATTACAATTGGTTTATGTCTGAAACAAATAGAAGGAAGAGAAAAACGAGATTATAGACCAAAAATTTGATGATTTCCAATGAAAAACAAGGATTCTCCATTCACCCCTAAATCGCCATTGATAAGGATTGAAGGTTTCAGTGGAGAAAAAGAGTAAAGTGATTTCCGAAATTAGGGTAAACTCGGGACTTTGTTTTACCTCTTTCACGATTTTTCTTTTTTTTTACTTCTGTTTTTACCTTTTTACTTTTTGTTTATAAGAACTTAAATCAATTATGAAATATTAAAATTAATTAGGTTAATTAAAGGGTATATAATGATATTAAACGGAATATAAATCCTAGTTACCAAAAAATCCTATTGAGACAAATCTAAGTTGAGAGTGTGTCATTTTTCCAATTTTCCCTTAATTGTTTTCATTCTGAAAATTTATTTATCTCCCAATAGTGTCACCTAGGGCTGGGACGGATCCGGATAACCGGGAAATTTGAAGTATCCGGATCCGGATTCGTCGAATCCGTGATTTTAATATTCGGATCCGGATTTGTGCCTTCCGGATATCCGTCTAGATATTATGATATTCGCGGGTATCCGGATTCGGATTCGTATCCATTAAAGTAATTAAAAATCAATTTTTAAAAAAAATAATACATAAATTACATATTTATGCATAATTTATGAATATATATATATATATTACATATAATATTAGAAATATTAAAATAGAATATTATAAACTTATTTTATATATAAAGATTAATATAACAGATATAATTAATAATAAAATAAAAAATTTAATATACTTTTTAAACTACGGATCCGAATCCGGATATCCGGACCTAAATATTAAGATATCCGGATCCGGATTTGGTTCCGGTTCGCACGAAACCAAGATTTTACTATCCGGATTAAGATCCGGACACCTCCAAATATCCTAATTTCGAAGCGGATCCAGATTGGTTCTCGGATCGAATCCGAATCCCGGATAAAAGTCTCAGCCCTAAGCCTAGTGTCACCACTTCAAATTTGCGGCGATCTCACTGATACCAATGATTAGTTTGACACAAAATATGTAGTATAGAGGCGATCTCACTGATACCAATGATTAGTTGACACAGAATATGTAGTATATGTGTATGTTCTAGGTATGTAATAGATAGTATACAAGTTTCATCGGACATCTGCCCTCCACTTCTAAATAATAATGAAAATTAAAAATCTCAACTTTAAAACTTTTTTATTAAAATTTTAAAATATATTTATAAGAACTTAGTTCTTCTTCTACATTTTTAAAGCTTGTATATATATTTTACAAACACATTGTTGTAATATATTTTTTAATTTATATACATTAGAGTATAATTCCTTTTTATAATAAAATAATTATAGAACTAATATTGAAATAGAAAACAAAATCATATGCATGGTATTTTGAATTTTATTTATAAACAACCTTCTTAGAAAATCTATATTAAAGATCTGTAAGTTGTTAGAAAGGATCAATTTTATCAGGTGAATAAAAGTATCCCAAATTGTTTGAATTTGTTAGTCTTTCTTTTAACAATTCAGAATCTGAGGTGGTTTATTTTGATCAAATTAATTTTAAATGAGTACACTGATTCTGGCTTTTGATTCTAAATCATACTGCATAATTTTATATATCGACAAAAAAACATCACTTCTAGGAACATATTCTCGGATAAATATATTAGTTTTGTAATTGACCAAATTGTGTCAAAAATTTTACTTTCTACAGAAGACTTTCCTGAAAATCTTCTGACCAAAGATTTCCAGCAAAGTCTTCTCAACTGTTACATGAAGTCTGCTCACAGTCCGTGAAAATTTGTAGGTTACTTTTACAATTGACCATATTTGACTATTGAAGAAGACTTATGTAGAAGTCTTCTTCAATGACCAAAGTTTTGACTAGAATCTCAGAATAAAAAACGAGAAGATTTTTAAGAAAGTCTTTCGCTAAAAGACTTTTCTGAAAGTCTTCTAAATAAATTCAGTGTTATACTTTTAATTGTCAATTCCAAAACTAACCAACCGCAGACTTTCAATGACAGTGAATAGACTTTATGTAACAGTTGAGAAGACTAAGTCTTCTATAGAATGTCGAATTTCTGACACAATTTGGTCAATTGCAAAACTAACCTGTTTATCCAAGAAGATTTTTAGAAAGTCTCTAGTTT